AAAATGTCTAGTCGTTATTGATCAAAAAAACAGTGTGAAGGATCCTGACCAGTAGGGGTATTCTGTGCTGTCTTTGAGACCTCGGGGCCTAAAAAAAAAAAAAAACTAAGGGATAAAGGAAGGAAAAGAAAGATAGAGGTAATAGAAGTGGAATGTAAGGCAGGGTCATGTGCTTACATCCAACCGTATTCAATTTTTTCTGTGTTAAAGTCATGACAGTTGTTCTGTCTCTCCAATCTAAGCATTGAAAGTGTGATCTCTGTAATTTACAGTTGTGATGAGATAGCGATAACTTCAATCTTAGTTGAATAACACAGGCAGTGACTCGATCTAGATGACACCTTGTAGATCTTGTGAAGTTTATTCCATAAACTGAGAGAATCTTGCAACAATGAACATCTGATAGGTCAAAAGATCACAATGTGATCTGCTTCATGACATTAGGCTTGAAGCTGAAATTCCTTACTGGGAAAAAGGGCTAAAAGGGTGGGCTGTCTATACAGCATGAACTAAACCAAAGGGAAGGGAGGAGCAGAGACAAAATACAAAGAACACTTAAAGGCATGACAGTCATGTGAAACATGACAACAGTTATGGGACAAATGGGCACAGTTTTATCCAAACAGGTGTATCATTAAGTGACCTCGTCTTGAGGTGACATTATTATTGCGGCCTAGACCTCCAATTCTGACTTTGTCTGGAGGCTTTTACTTCGCAGTAGCAAAGCTTGTCTGTGAGAGGCTGCAAATGCCACCCAAAGCAGAGGCTGGGTGCACTGCACACAGCTTGTCTAGAAAATAAATAAATGGCCACATCAACAGTGCTGCTGTGCTAATATGAAAAATATAGGATGATTATATTGATTCTTCTAATTAAGGTCTGATATTCTAGTTGTGGGGATTGATGCAATTCCAGTGATTAAACAGATTAAATCCACAGCAGAAAGAATAAAGAATAATTAACGAGCGCTTGGAGATGGATAGCAAGCAGCTGGCATGAAAGTCACAAACCTCAAACCTTCACACTATAATAACAACACATGCAGCGCTACAAATGGTTAATATAAAGTAACATATAAGGTAATAAGTGATGGGCTACTGGTGCTTAGTGGTGATTGATAAGTGTCCTCATAACATGATACAATAGTCCCAATAAGCCGTGCAAAAGTGGTTGACTCTGTGCTGAAAACTGTCTAATATTATGCACTCACCAGAAAGCGCATAATATGCGCATTTGAGTTGTCAGACCACTCCTGGTCCTAGAAAGCTGAACCTGTGTGGATCATCTGGCAAGCTGTCACTCTGATGGGGATAACCTTTTCCTTGGCCAGCAGGGGGATTCCAGACATCCAGAGACCCTTAATAGCACTGATCCAGGTTCCTCACCCAGGGCACTCATATGAGGTATCCACCTTAAGAGAGGGGGGGCTTGACCAAAAAGCCCACCCCAAAAAACACTGATAGTGTAGTACGTTTCAAAAAAATCCTTTATTGCAGAGTAAAAGACAGGTCACTCACAGGGTTTCCCAGAGTCAAAGATGGCCGCCGGCCTCCACGAGGTACGGAACGGCGTGACGTCACCGGCTAGGCTCCACTCTGACGCGTTTCGTGCGGACGTGCGCAACATCGCCAAAATCCACACGTTCCTAACCCCAGAAACCACTAAACAGCTCATCCACTCCCTCATCATATCACGACTCGACTACTGCAACTCCCTCCTCACTGGCCTGCCTCGCCGCTGGCTATCCCCGCTTCAGTCGATCCTGAATACGGCTGCCAGACTCATTCACCTTTCCAACCGCTCCACTTCCGCCACCCCCCTCTGCCAATCCCTCCACTGGCTTCCGATTGCGCAACGGATCAAATTTAAAATCCTAACACTGACGTACAAAGCTGTCCACCATACTGCCCCGAACTACATCACTGACCTAATATCCAAGTACCGCCCAGCACGCACACTCCGCTCCTCACAAGACCTCCTTCTCTCCAGTTCCCTGGTCTCCTCCTCCCATGTCCGCCTCCAGGACTTCTCCAGGGTGTCACCCATCCTCTGGAACTCCCTTCCCCAACCCATCAGATTATCACCTACTCTCCTCTCCTTTAGGCGCACCCTGAAAACCCATCTCTTCAGGGAAGCCTACCTCACCCCCTGCTAACTTGCTGACCTCCTCCACTCTTCCTACCACTCCATCCCCCACAGCTATCTCCTCCTGTACCACTATCCCTTCCCTTCTAGATTGTAAGCTCGAAAGAGCAGGGCCCTCGATCCCCTCATGTTTTGCATTGTATTGGTATTGTTCTGTCACATGTTCTGTCCCCCTTTGTAATGTACAGCGCTGAGCGAACTATTGGCGCTTTATAAATACTGTATAATAATAATAATATGGTGGTGATCAGGGTGCTGGTATGGCATATGGCAGTGATCAGTACACTGGTAAGGGGTGTGGCAGTGATCAGGATGCTGGTATGGCCATGACCAGGACATTGGTATGGTGTATGGCGGGGTTTTTGTGACCACTGGGACAAGTGACAGGTGCTGGCTGCATTTTTTTATTAGGACTACACTAGGGCAGTGATCAGGGACACTGGGGTGCTGGCCCTGCAGTGAGTGTACATACAGCCTGACAGGCTGCTGTACACTCACAGGCTAAAGCATTGATTCTCTCTGCCCTAACAGTGAGAGCAGAGAGAACTGAAACTTTCAGTTTCTATTGTTTGCTATGTGATTGCTGTGATTGGACACAGCAATCACATGGTAAAACACCATGTTATCACCCAGACACAACGGTAACATGATCTGCTCTGTGAGCCACACAGGAGCTACTGATGTTGGCATACATACAGGTATGTTATCCTGCATTGGCACTGCTTTCCAACAGACAGAAAGACGTTAAAAAAGGTGGAAAGGGTTGGTGTAGTGCTCCCAGCCATTTTGCACAGTTGTACAAACACCTCTCCTGTACTAAATTTGTTTACTGTCAGATCAAGTCACACAGGTAGAGTCTGCCTCATTTTCAGGTTGGAATATGTCCAGCATCATCTCACTCTTTCCTCAACAGCCTCTTCTTTCAATCATGGAGGCTTAGCATTACATGTGGGCGTTACATGGGGCAGTCTGCATGCAAATGCATTCTGCCCAGGAATGCACACTCATCTAGACTGACATTCACCCATCAAGACCTTTTGATATTGATATAGCTCCTTTCAAGAGCCAGTCCCTTGCTTGCATCAGGGCTGAGGGCTCTTGAGAGGAGTACTGAGGCAGGGAGCTGTGATGTTTTATTAGGAAGCTACATACAGAACCCTGTTATCCCCTCCCACCAGCCATAATCTCCCTTCATTGCATAGAGAAGAACAAAGACCCAGTAATGATGTCACTAAAAAAAATAAAAGTTAAAATAAGTTATCTAAGTAAAACCGGTTTTATGTAATACCATTTTTTTTTTGTAACATGTTAATGGGGGCAGGGGCAGGACAAGGCAACACATAAGCATAAAAAGCTTCAGCTTTAAATAGCCTACACTTCAATAAAGGCATCTACTTTTCAAAAATCATAATTGCTGTTCTTTTACCACAACAGCGTAATTATTCATTGTTATATATTGCTGCTAATTCTATTTTTTTTCTCTTTCTAGTCCAAGCAAAGTTCAAGCATCATACATAGCATGTTCCTGATCAAGATCCTCCAACTTTTCATATTCTCCTTGACAGCTATCAGGACATCTCATTTCTGGACTTTAATATACATTTCTTCCTTTTATCAAATGTCATGCACCAGCATATGTAATTATGCCTTTGTTTTTATGGCAGTGCATCATCTATGTGCCACATAATAAACATACAGTTCAAGTATGACTAAAGGCAAAACAATTTTTAGATTTGGATAGATTGGGTTATAACCACTTTAAGATGTTGTATTCCTGTCGGTGATGTTGTGAGGGAGATTTACTCTCACTAATTGATCTAAACTCCAGTGACACTGAGAATAAAAATGAGGGTAACTCCATAATTTTTAGTTGCCACTAAGACGGGAATAGTGGAAAAATCATTCAGTGAGGACCCTTGTTCTCATGACAGTTGTCCAAAAGGGCATATCCCTCACATTGGATAGATATCCTCTTACTTCCTGTTGAGTCTACAGGACAGGAATAGAAGGGAAATCTACCTAATGATACACAGATGGCAAAAAAAAAAAAGACAACAGTTTTAGTTGATCCGAAATGAAAAAAAAAAAGTTTGTGCTTTAAATATACCTTAAATGTTTTAAGGAGAATGACAATTTGATATATATATTTGAATTAAACCCCATTTAAATGTAGCAAACTGTAAAGCATAATCTCTATCAATCTTAAAAATAAAAATATTTTATTGCTTTTTGCAATAGGCTGGAGATAGTTAAGTCATAACATGAGAAAGTGTAATGAAAAGAGTGTGGGGAGACTGTTAGCAGACCATGAATGTAACAGTTCTGTCTCAGTCTGCACACTTGTGAATGGGGCTTGTCGCTGTTTGCTCAGCATATCTGAAGCTAAGGTGAGGAATGAGCATAGAGCAAGCAAAGAGAATACTGCAACACAGGCAAAATATATCCTCATTTTTCCAGTGCTAAAGCTAACCAGAATTAAGACTCTTTTGCTAGCTTACTATTATAACAATTAATCATACTGAAGAAACGCTCACACCCTTATTGAAAAGTCGCAGCTCGAAGATGTGGAATGTTTACTACACACAGGAACTTCTTTGGACACCATGACTGAAGCCAGGCAGTGGCACAGGAGATCTGGGATGCCGATTGTAGATTGAATTATTTTTTTCATTGCCACCAGGAATACATTGAATTTGTTATATTACTGATCATGACACATACCCATCATGCTTGTGCAGTAGGCAGCAGTAAAGGAAATGGAAGGTCATTATGAGGCAAACGTGTCTATGGAAACTCCAGGTATTTTTGGTGGAGAAGTTCTGGTGACATCCAGCTTGAGCGCTGTACTTGGTATTATGTTTGTCTTAGGCTCTTCTGGAAACATTTATGTACTTGTGATTACTGCCTTGTCACCCAGGCCAGCAGGTTCCCTGTGTATCAATGTCATAAATCTTGCTTTGGCTGATCTACTTTACCTTTTAACTATTCCTTTTGTTCTAAGTACCTACCTGGCCCAAAACTGGTACTTTGGGGATATAGGATGCAGAGTTCTTTTAAGCATGGACCTATTAACCATGCATGCTAGCATCTACACCCTCACTGCGATGAGTCTACAGAGATATCAGGTAATTGTGCGACCTTTTAAGGCACATATTACCCAGTGCCACCAAAAGGTAACAAGTCTGGCAATCTGGCTTACATCATTTTTTTCTCACTTTACCAATGATATGTATGATACAGCTACAGGACAGCCATTATGGATCTGGCAAGAAGATTTGCTTTCCCACGTGGACACAAGATTCATTCAGAAATTACTTAACGGTTCTTTTCTGCACCAGCATACTAGGTCCTGGCTTCATCTTAATATATATCTATAGTTGCCTAGCAAGGGCATATTGGATGTCTGACCTAGAAGTCCATCAATCAAGGCGAAAACAAAAGCATTGTGTTGGGCTGCGTATATTCACAATTATCATTGTATATTGGGCTTGTTTTGTACCTTTCTGGGCATGGCAGCTAGCCAAATGTTATCAGAAGGAACTTTCAGCACTTGGTCCTTCAGCTGAGATTTATCTAAACATTGGAGTTACCTGCTTAACATATGCTAATAGCTGTGTAAATCCTTTACTATATACTATACTAACTCGTAACTACTGGGAATATTTAGCTGGCCGGAGCCGGAAATCCAGTGGGAAAGGGATGCAGAAGAAAAATCTGGAGATGTGATTGACATTGATGGATTGTTACTTTCACAGGTGCATTGGATGTATTTTAAATCATCAAATATAAAAAATCATAAGAGTAAATTAATGAGTACAGTTAAAACTTCTGGGTCTTGTAATTGCACAAAATCTTCAGATGAGCCTTTTGTTGACAGATATGTAATTTATATTCTGTTGAATTGGATGTGTTAGACATTAGGTGATGGCAGTACTAAGGTCTCCTTCACATGGGCTTTGAGATTTGGCAAAATTACAAACAAGGGTTAAGTTACAGCATTAACCCATGTTTCAACACAGCCTATCTGTTAGGCTGCATTATTAAATGGTGCTCAATCACCACAATTTCCATTTTGTTTTGTTTTTTCACAGGAGGAAGTGAACGCTGTAATTTAGCAGTATTTAACCCAGAAGCAAACATTTTGTTATATTGCAGGTTACCGATTTCTAGATTTGACGGCTTCATTTGCTTTCCTTTTTAGGCTTTCTTTTATTTTCACCTGGTGATCTAGCCTTAAGTCTGTTATTTTTCAACAGAACAAGTGGTCCTGCAGATGCAGCAGTTAGGGGGTTTAGACAAACCATTAAACACTGACAGGGGTGCTTACAATTGTCAGCTTTTATTCATTCATGTTAAACCTTTATCCCAAAAGGAGCAAAACTGTTGCTGGAGTTTGGCTTCAAAAGTGTATCTAAATCTGCCAGTACATTTAACTCTCCCTTCCCCCCAGATTAACAATGCTGCTGTCCCAAGGTGTCTCTGTACTCCTTTATCCAGGGTTTAGGTAACCTAAGGGTCGATTCACACTATAGAAATGCATTCTGAATGCATTTCCACGTGCACTTTTTTGACATGTCCCAGTGCGTTTTTTATGCATTCCAGTTAATTTTGTCCCTCTTTTTCTTCAATTTAAATAGGGACATGTGCATACCGGTGCATTTTTGGTGCATTGCAGTGTATTTTTGATGCATTTTATCACATTACAGTACAGTTCTGTGCAGAAAAGGGGCAGCATGTTCTACTTTTTTTTTCTGCAATCAGAACGCACTGGAACTGGAAGCACTGATGTGAAAAAGCAACTGATAGTGTGAACTGGCCCTAATATAGGAGGTGTGTTACTGGCTGGATCATCAAGTGAAAACAAAGGGTAAAAAGTCTTAAAAAAACAAATGCATCCACCACGTCTATTGATTGGCAAGCTGCAATATGTTACATTTTTGGTTTTGGATTTAATACTACTTTGTATTTTAGGCCAAAATAAACTCTAACCTATTAAGTAAATTGTGATTTAATGCTTCTTGACTCGGCCATTCGTGAAAGTGGAAGCATACAGTGGTAAGAAATAATGTTACTTACAGTATTAGTAAACAGAGCTAGGAGCAAAATAATTTTTGCATAATTTGTCATTTCATTGCTGGTGTTCATTTTTTACTTCAGTAATAAAACAACTAAATAAAGTTAAATGATTAGCTTTGCAATCTGATTTAGGTGTACCAGTTATTACATAGTGTGAGGGCTTACCTAACCTGTCCATTTAACTTTATATTTATTCAGGCAAGCCACACTACTTAAAGGGGGCTATGCACTCATGGAGGGTAGACCTTTTCTGAATAGACTCTTCAACATGCTGTAAATTTTAAATATTTATTTATAAAATAGGTAGTTTTAGGTGGCAAATTATTCTGGTGCAAGGACAGCTTTCAGTGCCATTAGTTTGGTGGTAGGGCATGGTTAAAGGTACACTCCATTCAAAACTGAAAATTAAGTATTGAGATGGAAGAATTGATTGAAGAAGAGATTAAAAGAAAATTGCTCAATTCCCCCATTAACACAGTCAGTGTTGATGGAGGAATGTCTCCTGCAGTGCTATTTTCTGCTGGTGGGAGAGCCTTCCTGGCTGGCAGATCACAATGATTACTTCTAGTGGCTATAGCCACTGGCAGTAATCGCATGTAAAAAAAAAAAAATCAGGCTGGCTGTACTCAAGTCAATTGATGGGTGGACTTGGGTACAATCAGCCTGCCCATACGTGGACTGAAATTTGGACAGTTCAGCAAGGATCATGTATGGCTGGCTTAATAGCATGGCCCAGTGATTGTGCATAATTGTACTTTTACTTTCAGTGCAAGTTTAGGTGCCTGGTTTACCAAATGGTGACATTTCATGGAGTGAAAAGAGAAGAGTGCAGTAACCCATAGCAACCACAGTTCAATTAATTGAAAACCTCAGTACAAGATAGTGTTTAATTTATTTGTAAAAGTATTGCACTTTACTCCTTGCACTATTTTACTTAATAAGCCTGAAAGTTTGGGATAGAAAATATTGAATTTAACAAGAATTTCACAGATTCTTCCCAAATGCCAAACGCCCAAGCTAACATATGAGGAAGGCAGTGTATTTGACAGTGCAGTGTAAGCTGACAAGATATAAGAAGATTTCAGAACACAAACTTTCATTAAAGGCATACTGCTGTAACACAACATATCTAAGCTAGCCATTATATACCAGAATCATTATATACATCAAAATTATTTTAACAGAAGGATACTGTGACAAACTAGGAGCACAGAGACAGAGCAAATGGAAGTCAATCACAAGGAACCTGATGTGTGGGTGTTTATTGGGAGGCTCGGGGGCACAAGAAGGGCGCGAGTAGGAAACAACACAGAAATAGTCCACAGGTCAGCAATGTATCACAGCACTGATAAAGTGTCTACGGAATGGCAATAGGGCACAGCAACAAGAAAACAGTCCATAGGGTGACCAGAAGGCCCAGGAAGAGGCCCAGAAAGGGAGAACGATCCTTAGGACAGCAATATGGGACAACAAGGGGGAAATAATTCACAGGGCAGCCAGAAGGTACAGCAGGGGTTGAATGATTCTCAGGATGGAAATATGGGATAGCAAAGGGAAAATAGTCCACAGGGCAAACACAAGGCATGGCAAAGGTTGAATCTGGCACACAGGGCAGGATTCTGGGGCAGAGTGGAGTTTGGCATGGCCGAGGTTAAGTCCTTAGCACAGAGAGCAGGGCTTCGGGCAGAGCAGTACTTGGCACAGCAGGAGTTAAATCCAGCACACAGGGGCCAAGCAGACAGCACAGAAGAGTAGGACTTTGATTTGATACAGTTGGGTTAAGTCCTTACCAGCCAGCAAAAGAGAGCATCCCGGCAGAGAGGGCTAGAGGCCACTGGCAGAAGCAGAGTAGGCAGGGGTTAAGTCCACAGGCTTATGGAAAGGGGGCTGTGGGGGTCTGGCCTCAGCACAGAACCTCAAACAGCAGCAGCAGCAGACAAAGGAGCAGAGTGAGCAGGGGGAGGAAATATGGTACAGCAACAGGTAACAGTCCATGGGGCAATAGTAGGCACTGTGTTGGGGCAGGGATCTTCCAGGCTGTAGCAGGGAATAGCAAAGGTTATGTGTCCATGGAGGGGAAATATGGTACAGCAACAGGGAACAGTCCACAAGGCAACAGCAGGCATGACAAGGGGCAGGGATCCTCCAGGTGGAGATAGAGCACAGCGAGGGTTAAGTGTCCGGCACACAGGGCAGAGATTCTTCACAGGCAAATGGTGGGTCATCATAGGGCTGAATGTCCTTCCTGGCTGCGGCTTCAGGATTGCATAGGTAGCAGTTGTAAAGGAAGTAGAGGCACGGCAAGGAGAAATAGTTCACAGAATAGCAAGAAGAAATAATCCATAGGGCAGTAGGTACAGCCAATATGGGTGCAAGTCACAGTATCCAGAAAGTATCACACAGTCCATTCAGGGAGCAGTTCTAAATGCTTTCTAGTTTTCTTCAAGTGGAACATCCAGACATAATTTCCCCTGTATCCATCACTTGGGGAAGCTCAGAAAACTCTGATCCTTTTCTGCCAGAATAGGGATACTATATTGTACTATGAATACAGCCAAGACCTAAGAACCAGATGGCCTGGTGCTGAGGTGTCTGGCTTTATCCAGGTACACTATACAATGCTGTCTGCATTATCTGCTGAGATCCACGTCATATCACCTGTGGGGCACAGGAACTCATAGATTAATTATACAGATAAACTGACTGCTTTACACACTGGTGGTTTCAACAAAACCAAAATAAACAAAAAATAAAATAAATTGAATTTCTGCCCTGCTACAGATACAATAAACCTATAAAAGAAAAGAAGCTTGAATACAATACATGTAATGGAAGTCAGGTGGCTTCCCTTACTCTTTCAGTTTTAAATTAGCACTTTCAGACTCCATTCACATATAGACGTTTTGAATCGCGAGCGGAATTTCTGAGATTCTACCCATGATTTCACAACGAGCTGTTAAAATGTGAAATCGCTCATCAGCGTGTTTGGGTGCCATTCATCTCAATGGCACCTGAAAACGGGGTGATTTTGCTACGATTGCTGTGCGATTTTCAGAATGACAAGTGTGCTGCAATCGCACAAACAAAATTGCGCGACGAGTCTCACTCAATTAAGTTTCAGAACTTCGTTTGGGCAACACACATTGTGCGATTTGTTTGCGGAACCGCAGCGCAATAGTCATGCTAAATATCATGTGGCAGAATCACCCAGCATTGAATTAATGCCACCTGAACATGCAATTTTACATTTTAACAGTGTGTTTTAAACACAGGCAGAAACATGGCAGTTCTACCTGCAATT